TGCCTCCGTCATCAGGGCGATGAGTATGAAGATTTCTGTCTTCTGGGTTCTTGCGCTGTGTAATCTGGTCGATGTTTACCAACGTTTCGGAGGTCTTACTGCCTCCGTCATCAGGGCGATGAGTATGAAGATTTCTGTCTTCTGGGTTCTTGCGCTGTGTAATCTGGTCGATGTTTACCAACGTTTCGGAGGTCTTACTGCCTCCGTCATCAGGGCGATGAGTATGAAGATTTCTGTCTTCTGGGTTCTTGCGCTGTGTAATCTGGTCGATGTTTACCAACGTTTCGGAGGTCTTACTGCCTCCGTCATCAGGGCGATGAGTATGAAGATTTCTGTCTTCTGGGTTGTTGCGGTGTGTAGTCTGGTCGATGTTAACCAACGTTTCAGAGGTCATACTGCCTCCGTCACCAGGGCGATGAATATTTACCTTATTACTTCTTCATGCAGAAAAATTAAGTTTAATATAAAGTAACGTCATTTAGTTTAAAAAAACATATTACAATTAAACATTATCGTTTCTTTAATTTACGAAATGTCGAGTTATGCCAGATAAAACATGAACGAATATGTTGATAATGCTTAGAAAATGGAATATTGTTGTATTAATAGAATCCCACATAACATGCGACTTTGTTTCACGAATCTAAATTTCCGAAACGCGTTTATATGGGCACATTTTGGCAAGCCTGGTAGTGAGAATATAATGCTGCTTATCCAGGTATTTCAGTAATCCGCGGTGAATGTCACCCCATCTGTCTTTTGTAACAGTTTGCTGTAGTTGAAGATATTGCGTCATAAAAGAACTGAGAGTTTATACAGTTCTGAAGGAAGAGCTAAGCCCGGTTGATAAATGAGTACTTGGATCACGTGGAAAGGCGACACTGCTCTAGCAGGTACATTGTTGTTGGATTTATTGACCACCAAGATTACGTAATGCAGTGGCTCAAAGTCCGGTAGATACAGGAAGATTGTTATTCACGTCTTGTGTCATGAATGTCTGTATTGAAAAGCGTCTGTGTATCTGCGCTTACGTGTTAAGGTTCGATTTTACGATTCATATTATAATGCACAATATCTCCATAATAAAACAGTTAACTCTTTTTGGACAGTAGCGATTTGAGGTTTCTTCAGGAAGATCAGAAATATGGCAACTTTGTTGACTTTCAGTAATGTTTTCAGTGTGACGTAGATACCACTAATGATTATAACCAAGTAATGGAAGAAGAATTAATTTGAATACACTGAGCGACTTTGAAGTCATTGTATGTGAAAGTCATTTATAAGAGCTTTTCATGTTGGTCTGGCAACCGAGCTTAGTCTCCATTTTATTTCTACATTTTTTTCTCTGATTCAGCTGTTTAGACACGTAATCTTACTTGTAACATTTGTATTTTATGTTTCCTTCCAGAAGTGTCAAGTCCGATGCGGTTTTATGGTACCACATTCTTTTGTTCACACAGGCCATTTTATAACAAGGAATCAAGTTTCAGAACGATTATGAAGTTCATAAAACTGATTTCGGGAAACAACCATAAAAAACGTGTAAAAAACTGATTTTTTGTTAAAAATTTACGATTTCCTCTGCGAAGTCCCTTCTAGGGTGATAGTAATCTTCAATGTCAATGAAATATGCTAATTCACTTCGGGAGATTAGTATTTTCAACTTTTGGTATTTCCTGACGTGGACACGCTATAGAATGAATTTATGTGTTGTGGTCTAGCGGTTAGAACGCTGGCCTTGTAATCCTGGGGGTGTCTCGGGTTCGATTCCCGGCGGTGCCCGAATTTATAACTGGACAAGAAAGCATATCAGAATGTTAACTTTCTGAAGCAGCACTGGTATGTGAATATAATATGTAAATAACTAATATGTGTAACAAGAAGATGGAAAATAATCATGAGAATAAAGCTACCTTTATTTACTTGTATTTATTATACATCTCACATTTACTGGAAGGCTTATAAAGAAAGAATTGGTTATATAATCTGCTTTATTTGGGTTAAAATACCCAAACGTTTGGTCCATTTGTTGTCATCTGGGGCTCGTGTCGAGGTTCTGGTGTTTGGTTCAGTTATGTAAATGGAGTTGTATTGAAGTCAGGTGCTTATGCTTTATTACGCGGACGGCCAGTGTAATCGCTGTCAGCTGTATGTTCTAATTGCGTTTTGTTAGAAAATGACGTTATCTGCATTACTGAACAGAAGTTCCATTCCAGTCGCATAGTTGATTATTGTCACTGTTTTTTGGGCTTACGATACGAAGTGGGCTCAAATACAATGGCGTCTGGAACTACAAATGTTTCATGTTGTGAAAACAGTTCGTTTCAAGTGTGAGGTTAATGTTGCACTGATGGGTTAAAAGTTACAAGAGTGTAATCCAACACTAAAAATTAACGATTTGCGTTAGTAAATGAAATTACACCAATACTACGTGAATTTTTGGAAATGATGTGTTACGTGACTATATAATTTAAGCTGTGTTAAGAGATACTTATTACGTTCAGGACACACATTAAGTTAGTGCCGATTAAGATTTTAAGACTCTGTTTTAGTGACGTATTCTCGTGGGTATGCTGTGTGGTAGAGGTGGCAGGGTTACTTTCTCATAGATTTTATAACTTTCTCTGGCTTCCTTTCCAAAGTTCACACATGTATCCGTCCACATGACAGTGGAAATTTTTGAGAATGCAAAGAATCCGGTAATTAAGTTTCTCTGTAAGTGACTTCCAAAGATCCTGTTGCATGTTGAGGGTTATCGTGTCTGTACGCTTCATAATTCTGTCTTTCTGAAAGCATTGTGTTCAGAGACACACGCATCTGTGTGACAGTCGAAACGTTTTCGACAAAAATTAGTATCATACGCGTCGTTCATGCTACTTTTAAAAAAATCATATTCATGCACTTCTATAATCTCTCTGAAACTTGATCCCGTTTACTGAAACATTCTGTATGACCAGAAGAATGTGGTGTCATAAAAGTATATCTGACATTTTAATATCACTGCTGTAGTTAATTAAAATTACGGACACGAATAAACTCTCTCTGACAGGCATGTGCATTCACAGATGATCTGCCATCTTTCTTGTTTGACGAAGCATAACATTATCGTTGTTAAGTCTGTTGAGAATCAGAACATCTGATTAGAATTAATGATTTGAGGAACCAAAATTCAACTTCAGCTTTACATCTACCGAAGTCGGCAACAATAATGGAAAATCGAGACAAATATACGAGTAGCGTATCAGATTCTGAAAAGGATAAGTTTGCTTTATACCATCCACAAATGTGCCTGATTTAAAATTAAAATGCGTTTTTTTTGTTTGTTTATGTTACAAAACAAAGTCTGCGGTAGCTCTTCGTATTTATTACCAACATTTGCTGAAGTGATGTGTCGGGTTTGAAGTCAGAGAAACACGAAGAGTTTCATCAGATAGGCTGCTGGCACATCACAACTGATGTTCTATCAGTGGTTCTTTTCGTGTGTTTACTGCAGAATCAACGAGCCACAGCTGTTTAGGTATCGTGATTCGTATCTCGTCTGCTGCTTTACGTGTAAGTGCCGCACATAATATTGTCTTTAAAACTCTGCCGAAAAATGTAAGTTTTCCGGGCAAATATTGAGTCGCATACAAGAAGTTGCAGAAGACATTTTGAAGACATAAGCAACTCTATAGCAATTTGTGCACATTAAAATATAAATTATATATTAGCATATAATATGGTAATATGTCATTACTGAATAAGTATTCTTAAAGATGTAGACAGTTTCTGTTAGGTTTAAAAAAAGTGCCAAGAGTTTTTTTTCCTTCGGTGTAACGGAAAAACTATTCTTGGCTCGAGAAAAGAAAACATTTGGACACCCTGCCGTATGTGAATACGCGGTAATAAAAATTCGGCCAGCCAAACTGGAAGCACTCACATCTGTGCTGGCAATGAAATATTAAGAAATTATGAATTACAGACACTTTAATCTTAAAACTTTGCATACCGTGTAGTGTATTAGAATATAGAGTGAACAAACCAACAACTATTAACACTATAGTGGACACTATTGCCATACGCGTTTCGACCTCAAGAGGTCTTCATCAGTGGCATCAGGGAAATTAATACATACCGTCAAATGGTTCGAGCAAATTTCATAATTAAAATAAAAGGTAATTGACAAGATGACTATTCACAGAATAACAGCATCTAGTGCAGTCATCTTGTGAATTATGAAATTTGCTCGAACCATTTGACTAAATGTATTAATTTCCCTGATGCCACTGACGATGACCTCTTGAGGTCGAAACGAGTATGGCAATAGTGTCCATTATAGTGTTAATAGTTGTTGGTTTGTTCACACTATATTACAGACACTTTAAATTAAATTAAGTATTATTTGGAGTTTCATATTAATGTTGGATTTAAAAATTACTTAGTATCGATAGTTCAGTCGACAATATAATGACAAAAGTTATGAAACGAAAATGCAAGTATAAGTAAAATAATTTTAGATTATAAACGTGACAGGTTATAGTATATTAAAGTACAAAAATAATTATGTAATCAGGAATATATAAATCATTACCGTGAAGTAAATTTCTCACAGCTCCAGTTATCGGGTTAATTTTAAAATCCCGGACTGTCCGTCTTCTGTGCGAGGCAACTTTTCGTCATGTGAGTAGCAGAAAATGGGCTTATGTACTTACGGTCCAGTCCACGTCCTGAGCAGTGGAAACATCTTTGCACACAAATATATTGATGAGTTCGCCCGGCCCACTAGGTCTAACCCAGTATGATGGCGGTAGATGCCCACCTGTTGTGAAGAGTCAGTAACTGTACACATTTTATAGTGGTCCGACAACATCAAAGTTGTCTACATCGATCTCGGCTCTGACGCCACTTGGTCATGCAAGTGGGTAATATTCTTTCGGAGGAACACTGCCTAAATCTTCAACCAACCTACGGACGCAATTAGCAAAGTTGGTGTTGTGTCTGATGATGTGTGTTTGTTTCAGGTCCTGTCAGGAAACACCAACACCTACTTAGTGGTTCGCCAGGAGCTGGAACTACCGTTTGTAGCCAGTAGAGTTCGATTCATCCCCTACAGTCTTCACACGAGGACAGTGTGTATGAGGGTGGAGCTGTATGGCTGTCCTTGGGAACGTAAGTCTCCCTATTAATTGTCATACTTTGAGCGTTTACATTAGGTATTTTGGTATGTGGTGAATCCTTTTACCCCTTTCAAATGTATTTTACGTAAGTTAAACGATATGGCATTTCCACTCCGCGTCATTTCCGATATGGCCCACAACCACGTTTCTTCAGTTAACATAATATTATAAAATTATTTTCACTTCGAAATGTTTTTATAGGAGCAGCAGTAGACTAGAATTGAAAATAAATCTTTCGTTTCTTAGACTGACATGTTATAAAATTACTTGCACTTCGCAGTTGTTCTAGAGGACAGCGGAAGACTTGAATTGAATATTTTGGCTTCCAGAAGTTGTTATAGAGGGCAGCACTAGACTGAAATTGGAAGACAGTGGATCGATACTTACAGAAATTATGTCAGGTTACCGTATTAGTCAATATAATTCCTTAAAATAATTATTAATAATATTGTTAACATGATTCGAATCGGGTAGTATCATGCTTTCATGGCGTCTTACGAAAAGTGACTTTTAAAATTTGGTTGTTTTTCTAATAAATACAGGTATAGTGAGGAAGAACGCGCAGAAATTACTGACATAAGTGAATTGGTAATAATGTTAGGTTTGATGTAAGTGAAGAAGAATGTCGTAGTGATTGCGTGAATGATCCAGGCAACGAAGAAATATGCAGCCTACAATATCAACAGGTTGGTTACGTGTTTATACGAATGACCTCGGACTTATAGTTTAACTGGGTTTTATAGGTGAAGTACCTAGAGTGTCACTTTTAAATACATTAATAAAAATACAGAACCAAGTGAATAATTTAGATTACTTTTAGTTATGAGTTTGAAAACTTAATACACAAAGGAACGAATTTGTTTAGGGACAAGAGGAAACCTTTGATGAATGATTTCTCCAAATATAAATTATGTGATTCGACACAGTGAATATCTAGGCGAAGAAGATGAGTGTAATGACAAACATGTAATTATATCGGATTACTTACGATTATATTAGATTACTGTAGCGTTTATTGGCAAAAAATATGGTTTTCTTGGTTGTGTGTTTGGTACCAAAGAATTCTTTCTGTATTCAAATTTGCACCTAAACTGTAACCTTGTGGAACTTTCGTGTCTGTCTTGCTCTGCGTACTGTGATTGCGACATTAATATACCAACAGTTTCGTACGAGCATGTGCAACCATAGATTGCATTTTTTAAATTCATACAACCCCTTTTCCACATTTGATTGATTTTGTTTTATTGGTCATATCTTCCTAAATATTCAACCAAATTGTAATTTTCAGTACGTTGGAAAATAATCGATTGTTTAAGATGTAGCACACTGCCCTTTGATTATAATTGTAACTGAATGATGTATTGTGTGTAGGCTGATATTAGACTCCATGTGTACGAAGTTCAGTTGACTCATTAGCACAGAGTAAACGAACATCTGAACCGTTCCATATGTTTAATTACGAGTACGAACGTAGAGCGTTATTGGATAATTTATAATAGGGCTATGATTTTATCATATGCGAATTTTTTGGATGGTACATCGACGAATACATCTAAAACACGATAGAAGTAAATGGTACCAGCAGCATACTGTGATATTAATTTAAATAAACTGCAGAACCATTTGGTTGAAGGTAAAACACATGTCATGACACAGCTGAGGTTGTTAGTATCTGGCTTCTGACTGAGGAGGACCGGGTTCATGCTCCGGTCAGTGTTGACCCCTGTCAGTATCATTCAACCGCTGCTCCATATCTATTCATGTATCATCTGAGGATAGACATTGGGCCTGTTAGTGGCCCAGTTCCACAGATAGTGGTCTCACGATACCGTGCAGATGATGACAGTGTTAGATGATATATGTTTTAATACTTTCGAAAACTCAGTCTGTTTTGTACATCCAGAAGATAAAAAAAAAATTGTTACCCCATTTATTTTCTTTGCAGAAGAAACGTAGCTTTCAACAAAGTTTCTTTAAAAAGAATCTTTGCCACAGAACAAACATTTTCATTTTTACTGCCATGGGAAATATTTAGTCGTTTCAGAATTGGGTGTTTTAAGGAAATATATGAAAGACCATTGTTTTTGTCTGTAGACTTTGCACATTAGTACACCAGTCCTGACCATTGTGTGTAAACAAAGCAGAATCAACATGTTATATGGTTACTTGCCTTTTCATATCACTTTTCTGTACAGTGAGAAAACGTTTAGTTTTTTACGTTTAACGACCCAACTTCAGTTCTACTTTAATTCACGGCATCGCACTCACGTAAAAACTGTGGTTTTTATAACCAAGATTGGCAAATAATACCGTACAGACTTGAGTAAATGAAATACTGGATTAAGATTTCCCTTCATATAAATAAGAATTTGTCATTTCTCTGTACCCGAATTTTTAAATTTTTAAAATAATATATGACACAGAAAAGCAACAATAAGTACGTACAGCTGGCTATAATTAATGTCAATTGCTAGTCTGTCATGGATATTTTTGCTGGAAACATACGGGTGCACTTTATATACAAGTGTAGATGAAAAAATCCAGACAATACAGTTTCAAGAATTGTCAGTAATTCACGTACCATTGCATAGCTACAGAGCTCACCTATTACAGTCGCCATGTTTATACTAAAGTCCATTCGTTTGCAATGTAAGAACTCTAGAATCGCTAAACAAATTTTCATGAAATGTTATATTGGAGATTTTTACTAATATTTGTTCACATATTCATGTTACAGTTAAAATCTAACAAAATTAACTTGAATTTATACATGATTTTCTGCCCATGTCTCGAAAGTGTTCGCTAAATATATATCGGAGTGAAAAATTCTTCAGACAAAATTTACAGAGAAATATAAGATACGCTTCATGCCAAAAATATTTTTTTGTTACAAGTCTTACAGACATAATGATATTAAAGGGTTTCTTATGCTGTTCCATCTTATAACTCGAGAACCGTTGGACGGATTTCGTCACGTAGCGTTCCTGAACAATACCTAACATTGTGTTTTATTACGTCAAACGTGTTGAAAAATATATTTGTACATTCTCTGTCAACAGAAGGATGGAATATTGTTTTAATTACGCCTTTTTTTTCTGCTCAACGACAGACAGACTTGTTGTGACGTCGTCGAATAGAGTGGCGCATGAATGGGTTAAGAAGTCGACGTTCTTTTCGAGTACAGTATATTTAATCCGCCACTGGAAATGAAGCCGTCATGCTGCAAGTCTGACGGCGTCTAACAGCGGGGAGGTCAATATTGAAACAAGATTTTGGTGCTGCTTCTGTTTCACGTATGTTGAAACAGTGTGTGCCTACGGGTGGCTGTAGCTACCGGCCGACCAGTCACCGTTTGCTCTTTGCTTCGCCCGCGTTTCATTTTTCTCTTTGACTAGACACCAGTAGTCTGTTTTATTCCATCACATTACCAAATGACTCGATTCAGCGCAACAACGGTCTATCTTACTGAGGTATTCAACTGCTCGTCCTGAAGGAACAACTGGAAGTGTTTCGTTCTCTAGAGTTCTAGAGTTTGGTCTGAAATAATCCTGTGTTCGATCCCAGCACATAATACACTTTTTGAAGGTTATTATTATGACACATTCTGCTGTTATGTTAGATCGAAGAATTCAATTGGAACCATACTGCAGTTTACAACATATTTTCTACAGTTTGTTGCCTGTAGGAATGGCTTAAACCTAGACGCCCGGGGGAAACATCTAGAGTTTGGTCACGAATAATCGAGCCAACACACTTGGCTGTCTCCCTCACTCACACGTCATACAGGAATCCCTCCACGTCTTGACATCTGGGGCTTTATGCCCCGGGGGGACCTCGTTCTCTCACCGCAGCCCTCACGTTTGGGAGGTCAGTTACATTCGCAACTGACGTATCACCTTCCCCCCTCTCCCCGGTGCCCCTTGTTTTCAAATTGCACTGCGCTAATAAACATTCTAGGGGCACAGCAATGCTTCTGCCTCAGAATTTGTTTCTGTTTCCTTGCTCTGGAAATCGTAGCTGAGGCGTCTTATTCTTGTAAGCGACGAAGCGAAGTTGTCTGTGACATAACCTGCTGCTCAAAATATCAGTATTAGGTTGGATATTGTCTATGAATGAGGTATATTTTATAAACACGTTTCGGCTGTTGGATTTACTGCCATCTTCATGTGAACATCACTGTATTACTAACCTGTTTCAAGGAGATTCCAAGTTTGACTTCAGCAGTCGTCACTCATCATAAATTAAATTATGAAGCATTTGGCATTATAGACCTAATGACAGCCAATCACTTTATCATACTCACCGACGTGAGAAACTGAAATTTCGAAATGACTTGCCGATCTATCGGTCGAAAGAACTTAATGGCTCCGACCATAAGTCTGCAATAGCACTTAAATTACACTTTGGCACTTGTCTATCTGTTTAAAAATATATTTACCTCAAATTTAAGCTGAAAACTAAACCATGGAGGATTTGATACAGTACAATTAACACCAGGAATGTTAGCTGTTTAAAATTTCCCCTCCTAAAATAGTTGATAGAAATCAGAGTTTTAATTTGCTGTGCTTACATTCTATGATCTAAGGATAGAGGCTTCACAGATTTCATCTGAAGAAACATTATCTGCGTTAATGGTGATGAACATTTTTCTGAGTACCATTAGGCAAAGTATGGATTACTTGTAAGTTACTAATAAATCCTTCGTATTAAAATTTTGTATTCATTCTGACGTCATATTGTTCATAACATCACACACTTCTAGTTCCAAATTTTTGACAAAATTTCGCTTTTAACATTTATTTCACCTATTGTGCTGTGTTAATAATAAGTCACATTTGTGCTTTGCTGTAGTGAACAGTTCATAACCGAAACTATTTTTAGTCATTTGTTTCTGTCAATGATGGTAAAGATTTTCAGATAGAACCATCGTTCTAACTTACGATTAAGTATTCCTTCATAGTTATCCGTTAATATTACGGTCACCGTGGGCGC